GGGTCAGGTGACAAGACCGTCAAGATCTGGGATACAAGCAGCGGTGAGTGCCTCCAGACGCTTGAGGGCCATAGCGCGTGGGTCAGCTCAGTATCCTTCTCTCACGACTCGGCTCGGCTGGTGTCGGGGTCAGAGGACAAGACCGTCAAGATCTGGGATGCAAGGAGCGGCGAGTGCCTCCAGACGCTCGAGGCCCACAGCGCGTCAGTCAGCTCAGTAGTCTTCTCCCACGACTCGACCCGGCTAGTGTCAGGGTCAGATGACAAGACCGTCAAGATCTGGGATGCAAGCAGCAGCGAATGCCTCCAAACGCTCGAGGGCCATAGCGCGTGGGTCAACTCAGTAACCTTCTCTCACGACTCGAACCGGCTGGTGTCGGGGTCAGGTGACAAGACCGTCAAGATCTGGGATGCAAGCAGCGGTGAGTGCCTCCAGACGCTTGAGGGCCATAGCACGTGGGTCAACTCAGTAGCCTTCTCTCACGACTCGAACCGACTGGTGTCAGGGTCAGGTGACAAGACCGTCAAGATCTGGGATGCAAGGAGCGGCGAGTGCCTCCAAACGCTTGAGGGCCATAGCACGTCGGTCAGCTCAGGAGCCTTCTCTCACGACTCGACTCGGCTGGTGTCGGGGTCAAGTGACAAGACCGTCAAGATCTGGGATGCAAGGAGCGGCGAGTGCCTCCAGGCGCTCGAGGGCCATAGCGCGTCAGTCAGCTCAGTAGCCTTCTCTCACGACTTGACCCGGCTGGTGTCGGGGTCAGATGACAAGACCGTCAAGATCTGGGATGCAAGCAGCGGCGAATGCCTCCAAACGCTCGAGGGCCATAGCGCGTCGGTCGTCTCAGTAGCCTTCTCTCACGACTCAACCCGGCTGGTGTCAGGGTCAGATGACAACATGGTCTATCAAGGCCTAGGCTTAAGTTCAGATCATACATGGATAGTATACAACTTAGGGAACCTGTTATGGCTACCTTCAGAATATCGGCCATCGTGTTTTATAGTATCTAAGAATATGATTGGTATTGGTACTGGTCATGGAAGGGTATGGATATTTAAAGTTGAATTTAACAAGCTTAGTGCGTCCTAAGGCATTAGAGCATTTATGTTATTATTATTTACTATAATATAACGTACTCCACAGGCAAGTTGCTTACACACCTAAGTTGTAAACTTCTACTAAGACTCTACTAAACTACTCTTTCTATACTAATACATTTCTAATAACACTACTTAAACATGCTAAAAAAAACATTAGATATAGCTTATACTCTAAGCTTTTAAATAAGATGCAACACTTTTAAGGTAACATACTATAGCTATGTATAAGGTCTTTTAAAAAATTATAACTAATACACTAAATAACTTTTATAAGCTAATTTTATAGCTAACTTATAAAAGCTAGGTAATAATAAAAAGTAAGTAATTATTAAGCATATACTTAATCTATATATATAAGGATTTTTCTCTTAGCTAGTAGCTATAGCTAATATAGCTAATTCTTTACATGCTAAGCATAATCTAGGCTATGTTAGTGTAAACTAGCTTAGTATGTTTATAAAGTGTTATTTAAAGCTTAAAGTAAAGTGTAAGTGTAAGTATAACTATAAAAAAGCTTTTTATAAAAATTCTAAAGTAATTTAAATCTAAGTATAGTATCTAAAATAATAACATGTGTGACAGCGTGTACCGCCTCACATGCTCTGCGGCATTAGCTCCCTCGCTTGCGCAACGAGTAGCACGCTAGTGCTATAAGTAGCGCCTTGGCAGGGGGCACACATGTATATTTAAACTCGCAGAGCAGCTCCTCTGCTCCTTAGTTTAATCTAGTTGAGTTACACCACCTCTTGCTTGTAGCTTGAGCATGCCGACCGTGACAACATGTATAACTTTAATAAAATAAACTTTATAATAGGCTAAATATTTACTAACTATACTTATACTTAAAACTTTACTTTAAGCTTTAGATAACACTTTATAAATATCCTAAGCTAGTTTATGCTAATATAGCCTAGATTATACTTGTAACAATTCTCGTTCTATCTCAGGTCGCCTAGAACCTATCCGAAGGGTCCTTGTATCGGCTCCGACCCTGACTCGACCCTGACTCGACCTGGCCCCGACTCTGTCCTGCCCCCTGCTGTTACCTCTATTTCCCCCATGTATTTAGTCGCACCTCGCCCCTGTAGCTAGCTTAGTAGTTTTCTAATATCCTTTATACAAGGCCTATAGGTGTTAATAAGATTCCTAGGTTATTAAGTCCCTACACACTCTTATATGCCTCTAAGTAGATTCCTACTGCATTTAGACCTATTGTTTTGCCTGTGCTATTATATTATATTAAAAAACTTGCTATTACTAGTAACAGCTTTATTATAATATTACACTAATTATTTATTTAACTATGTCTAAGCCTAAAACGTATCTAATTTAGTTTAGGTTGTAATACTTACACACAATTATATTAAACTATTTAGTCTATAAATAGAATACTAGAGACTTTTTATTAACTAAAGCCTTTAGGTTTAGAACTTTCTATCCTCTATAATTAAGATTACTTTTAGAAAAGTTATGTAAAGTGCGCTAAGGTAAAAACTTAGAGACTACTAATAACTTATTAGAATTAAAGGTAACTGTTACGGTCTACGGTTGGACCAGCGTAACTCCACCAGCAGTGCTCCACAGTCTAGCTGGGTTGGGACAGGGCTCGCTTACAGACCAACCGGAGAACACGGGGGCAGCGCAGCTGCCCGCAATTACGGAAGAATGCGTCATCTAATAAGAAGGCGGGCCGCGTAGTAATGGGAGCCCAGGGGAGCTCATAGGAGTCCCTCTTAGCGGGCTCCCATAAGCTACCACCAGCTCCCCTTGGCGCACCTAGCACATGTATATAGTTCCCACATTAAACAACCTTAGGAAGGCGTGTTTAATGTTTAGTTTATTTCTTTATATAAACTAAGTAGCATTTAGCTTTCTAAAGAGCTGTAATACTATTTGTATATCTTGCACTATATATACCTCTAACCCTGTCTATTAGGACTGTTTGACCTGGCCTCCCTACTGCTGCATTAAGGGCAAACCGCGATCCGGTCTCTCTACCTCCCTCCATTAGCCCAATAGCCTGTACGTAGGACTGTACACCCTACCGGTTGGCCCCTACCACCCGTCCTACTTCCCCCCTAGGAATATCATAAGACCTGAGTGCTCCCCTGGAGCAAGGATTGTAACAGTAACTGCTAATGTCTAACTAACTACTCTCTAATTCTAGAATTAAAATACGCTTTAGCTAAGGCAAGCTTTTTAGAGTTAATTAATAATTTATGTTAACAGCTAAACCTACTTCTGCAGCATCTAAAGCTATACCTCTACTTAATTTAAAGTTAACTATTAGTAGTATATTTATTAATAATTAGATTACTTAATTATAAGCACAGCTTAAGCAGCTAATCTAGCTAAAAACTACTAGTTAACCTCTACTAACTACTAAATTACTTTTAATAACACTTTATATTACTCTTACTACTCTAAGTGCAAGAGACTTTTTAGGCACTCTTTAGACTTAGTAAATCTACTTTACTAGATATACACTTAAGATTAAGATTCTTCTAGATAGCAAAGAACCTATATTTAAATAATTGTAAGCCTTTATTATAAATAAACTTAACATTAATTTAGATTACTATTAGAGTAAGCGCGCACACATAGTATTAATATAGAGACACATAGCTAGTATTGCAAAGAATTATTTAGAGCTAGGATACCTAGCTAAATTAAACTAGTTTTAGTTTAAAAGTGTAGAGGATATAATAAAGCTCTTACAAGCTTATTTTATTACTAGTTAGAAGAAGACTAAGGCGTAATAAGCGTTCTAAACTTTTAAAATAGATAAAAAGAAGGTGTTTCCTGTAACAATTCGCACGAATCGTTCCATCTCAGTTCGCTCGGAACCTATCTAAAGGGTCCCTGTATCGGCCCTAACCATGACTTGACTCTGTCCCCTACAGTTACCCCTATTTACCTAAGTATTTAGTCGCACCTCTTCTCTTAGCTAGCTTAGTAGTTTTCTAATATTCTTTGTACAAGACCTATAGGTTTTAATAGAATTCCTAGGTTATTAAGTCTCCACACACTTTTATATGCCTCTAAGTAGATTCCTACTGCATTTAAACCTATTATCTTGCCTAAGCTGTTACATTATATTAGAAAACTTACTTTTACTAGTAACAGCCTTATTAATAATATTACATTAATTATTTATTTAACTACATTTAACTCTAAGAAGTGTTTAATTTAGTTTAAGTTATAGTTTTTACACACTGTTACATTAAATTATTTAGTTATTATAAATAGAATCCTAGAATCCTTTTATTAACTAAAGCCTTTAGGTTTAGAACTTTCTATCCCCTGTAATTAGAATTGCCTTTAGAAAAGTGTTACAACCTACAATTAGATTGTAAGCCACCTACAACAGAAGCCCTACTGTTTAGACAAACAAGGCTGGAATCCCCTCCGCATCTCAGCCGGAGGGACACGTGACCTAACAGACAAGGAATAGACAGAGCTACTAGACTAATGCACAGCTAAGTGTATTATCTAATAAGTAAAAGATGTTTAAGCGCAAGTAAGCATTATTACGCGCAGTAAGGAACTGCTGTTAGAGAACACTTAATAATACTTAATAACACACAACTTTATGTATATAGTTGAGAATCCTAACTATTATAGAAGGTTATAATTAAAGTTTAGTTTATTTTTATATAGACTAAGTAGTATTACTACTTTATAATAACAGTAATACTAATTATATATCTTGTACTATATAGGCCTTTATTTTGTTCCTACCTAGGAACTGTCTAACCTAAGCACCTTATACTGCTGTTAAAAGGTAAACTATAGTTAGCTACACTTTCTTTCCTAGTAACTGCGCCTAGGCAGACCACACACCTGTCTAGACTAAGTTCTCTCTCTAATTAAACACCTAACTCTCTTCTAAACCTAGTAAGCTTTAGATACTATTTCTCTAAAGTAAAAATTATAATATTAATTACTACTGTTTAATAAAGTATAAATTCTTATAACACCTTTGTTAATTTAGAAATAATTAGCGCAACTTTATTAAAAACAAGTTAGGTTCTAACACTAAATAAAAAAGCTCTTACTAAGTAATTAAATAATATAAAAGGCAAGCTAAGTAAGCTAAAAGCTTTAAAATAAGAAGTACTTAACTTAAAATAAATGCTTACATAATTAATAACTTAAAAAAGATTTTAAAACATAGACTTAAAAGTCTAGGCTTTATAAATTAAGCTAGCTAACCTTAAGAACTTCTTTTAAAAAAAGATAAGTATTATAGCTAAAAAGACTCTAAGACTAGCCTTACTAAAGCCTTTTACTAGAAACTTAAAATATTTATAGCCCTTCTTTACATAATGCTACTTGTATATGTAATATAACTAAGAAGCTTTTTAAACACATGAAAAAATAATTTTATAAATAGAACTTTATTTTAACAGCTTACTAGCAATCTAGTTTTAACTCTATGCTAATAGCTAAATAAACTTTAAAGTAAACAGCTATATACTTTTTTTTAAGACAGAAGAAATATTTAGTAGCATAGACTTTTTTAAAGAAGCTCTTACTATAATCTATAGACTTATAGATAAAGAAAAAATTGTAGTAGATAAAATAAATGCTTTGTAGTAAGAAAAAAGAACTATGTAACATTACGCTGCATAATTCTAAGAACAGTTAGCTATCTACAGATAGACAGACTAGAAGACCCTGTGTAGAATGTTTTATAAAGAGCTTAAAAAAACTATTTAAAATAAATTTATATAAAATAAAAAACTAATAACTTTAGAAAAGTTTATTAAATAAGCAGCAACTTATAATAACTGTTATACAGAATACAAACGTAAAAAGAGGCCTAGTAGCGCACCTTAGAGACCTAAGTAGAGACCTAGAAAGAAGAAAACACTCTGCTATAATAAAGAACTAATAGACCTAAGTTATATAAAACACACATAAAGCACGTCCTAAAAGAAAAGACTTTATAAAAAAGGTAATAAGCTACTATTAACTAAAAAATAAAAAAAAGATTTTAAAATAAAGTATACCTAAACTATAAAAAAAGTAGGCTACTTCTGTTAGAAATATCTAGACTCTAGAACTTTAGAGAATAAAAACTTAGAACTAGTAATAAAAGCTATAAGCATAGAAAAAGGTCTAACTATAAAAGAGATCTATAATAGACTTAATAAAAGACTTTATTAAAAATATAAAATAAGCTATAAATTAATAAATTACTTTATAAGTTATTAAGAAGTAGAAGTCTAAGATAACTATAACATTAATTTAGCGCTAGAGTAAGCTGTAGTCTATAAAGGACTATGTAAATTAGCATAGATCGCAAACTACGTACAGAATGTATAGAAAGAAGAGAAGAAGTTCCCTCTTAGACTAATAATAATAGAAACACTAGTAGAAAAGCTTGCACAATAATTTCAGACTAGCTAGTGCTAGAAGTGCAGAGCTAGTTATAAACACTAATATTATAGAATACTGTACAAAGAAGTACCTATTAACAATAACATAAAAACTTGTAAGGTAATATTAAATATTACTAAAGTACATTACAGCATCCTAAATAAAAAGGATTAATAGATGTTCTTCTAGAAGATTCTTTAATAAGAGGAAGGCTCTAGGTGGCTCTTTATGCTATTATAGACACTAGATCTGTGCTATAAGAGGTCTAA